AGGAATGCAGAAATACCCTCAGAGCAGATCACTTCTTACAGGGCTTTTGTCTTCCTTCTTTAGCGTCGTCCTTCCCCAGAGCGCGTTGACGCCGTCCACTGCCACGAGAAGCCGGAACGAGCCGAGATGACACTGCTGCTTTAACTCTCTCAGCACAACCCCGACCGCGTCGCTGGCGTTTCTCACCCGAGCTAAGCCCTGCAAGCAGGAAAAGGCACGTAACTCGGGTTGGTTTTCTCGTTAATACGCAATGCTGTTCACATGATTCGTGCCCCATCGCTGTGGGCACCGTCCGCCCTTCCTCAGGGGGAAGGGAGCTAAGACACAGCCAGCAGCCCGTTTGCTCCTTCCCAAGGAGCAGTCTGCTCCGAGGCATCGAAGTAGGAACCTTCACCTTCTAATTTTTGCTTCCACTCGAGTTCTTTGTACACTTTGCAGCTGCACTGCACCCTCCACAATGCTTTCTGTGGCCAGGGAAATGCCAACCATCTCCTACAACTGGTACTTGTACGGTCTGTAGAGGATTTGTTCTGCTACACAACGATGGGAACTTGGAACAGAAGGGGAGACCAAGCCAGAAGCCCTTGTTGTTCCTTACCTGCTCCACCACTTCACCCAGCGGCCTGCCCTCCTCCGTGCTGTCTCGTTTGCCCCACACGTATGTTTTTTGTGTTTTTATCTGCAGCAAAAGAACGACGATTAAACTGGGAACCACAAAGGCAGCTTGGCAGGTCGGATGGCAAGCAAGACTCCTGGTTCTCTGCCAGCCTTACAGACGGGTGCAGGACCCATCACAAAGAGCCCTGCCCACAGGGGGGATTTAAAGCACTTCTTTTTGCACAAGAAGTGAATTCCAGGGAGGGGCAGGTTGGTGGGCTGTGAGGGCATGCAGCGATCCGGGAAGCATTTCTCAGAAATGAGCAAATCTAGAATTCGTGCCCAGGTGCTCGGTGACAGGAAGCACGTGCACCTGCAGCCCCCGAGACGGTCCCGTGCGCAGTTCTTGGCTACTGACCAAAATACAGACCTCTCTTAGGAAGCGCTCGTTGGTGGTTTTGAAGTTCTTGAGCCAGAAAGATGCTTGCAAAGGCTGATCGAGCCGTTCTTTGTTATAGGAAGACTGCATAAGCTCCTTGCAGTTCTTCACCCAGAGATGAGCTGGAAACAAAGAAATCAGTCGCTTTTTATTTTTTTAAAGTCAGAATAATTGTATGAGGTGGGTGGTGGGGTGCGTGTCTGTATTTCCCATCCTTGTTCTGCCACGCTGGTAGAAGTCTGCCACCCTTCCTGGGCAGGGCTCTCCCTTGATAGCAGGGGAGACCCACACACAGTCTGTCTCCAGTCATACTCGTGGGGAAAAAATGACTATAAGCATGTGAAAACGTGAAAATAACTACTTTGGGTCTACTTTATAGTGGGGTTCGTGCTTTATCAGCCTTCTCTGCTAACAAAGATAACTTGCTGTAGCCCGCGCTACACCTTGCGCTTGAAGGAGCATCTCCCGGACCGGGAGCATATTTGAAGCAGCAACACCGGCAGCACGGGCGTTCTTACCGTCCGGGATGTGCAGCACCAGCCAGCCTTGCCTTGTGCAGTAGTGAACCACGTGACACAGAGTCATGGTCTTCCCGGTTCCCTTCTCCCCGTCTCCAATATGGACTGTCAAGGAAAGTCTCCAAAAACCCACTTCAGTGCCTGAATGCAATTCTTTTGCAAAATAAGGGAAGTTGAAAGGTCACAAAAGCAGGGATGGCATTCCATCATGCTTTTGTTCTGCAGCAAACCAAGCCCAAAGAGCTCCTCCTCTCCACATGCTCCTGCCCCGCCCTGTCAGAGGCGACGACTCCCATTCCTTCGTTGTGACAACTCCCATTCCTTCGTTGTGCTGACAGCCCTCCTCATGCGTCTGGCAGCCCAGAAAGCCAACC